GAGTCACAGTGTGGAATGGATTAGCAGGGTCTGGTGCAGGGTAACTGCACGCCCCCTCGTGTTGTGCACCAGCATTTGTGCGGCCACATAAAAGGACCCTGATGCAGCTTCAGCGGATCCCAGGAACTAGGAGCTTGGAAATAAGCAGACCTGAATAGGGAGGCTCTGCATCAGGAATGTGATTGATGTAGATTAATTTAGAAATAAACAAAAATGTTTAAAAGTCTATCTGTTCCTGTCCAAATCTGAGATGAATAAATTGCGTATACGCAGAAGTAAGTTCACACTGACACATGCAGTTCAGGTTAAAAACACTTCAGGAAATTTATTAGCATCTAGTTAAAAAGCGGGCACGCAGGCCTTTTTATATGCAAAATGACATCATCATTGAATATCAGATAATAACAAATAAACATCATTAATTGGGTTAAATGTTAAGTGGCTATGTCAGTGTCCACCCATTAATATTATTAATTGGCTCAGAGATTTGAGTGACTAGTGAGGCACCCTCCCATCATGGGATGTCGTCGCCATTGCTCTTTAGCACGAGGCTTACTCGGTGGAAAGGGGGGCTTGGGCATCATTTTACGTAGTTAGTGATGTCAGTCTCGTGGCCTGGTCCAAGGTTCTTTTATGAATAAAACATTTCATTTAGTCGCTGTTCTCCTGGCCTTGGATTATACTATGTTGCAAGTCAACGGAGATCCGCTAACTCCGGGGCTAGTTATGTCCTTAGAGAGAGAAAATACAATCTCTTATTCATTATATTGAATACTGTCATGTAAGGTGAACAAAATGGAGAGTTCTGTCACAGTGTGAGATTAAAAATGGAGTTAGTACAATTATTCAATACAAATTCAGTAAAGATTTTAATAATTCTACATCAGTCCCCCCTATGAAATGTTAGATTCTAAAAGATAATCTTTATTTGTTAGTATCAGAAGACGTGTTAGCCCAAAGGCACAGAAACCCCGTGACCCGCTAGCTAGGTGTTATTGCAAAGTGCAAAGCTGTCCCTTCGTCTGTCCCTAATTGGCTAACTCATCTGTCCGCTGGGCACTCGAACACTTCACTCCATGGGTATCCCGAGGTGGCTAACCCACCACATCTCCGCACGGTAGACTTCCCAGACAGACAGATGCTGTCCCTAAGCTGGTCCCTTCCTAGAACTCTTGCACTTTATCAATAAATGGGATAGATTGTAGCGGTATACAGGGCGAGTTGACTTTTTGGAAATCTTGGTCATCAACTGTGAGGTGTGCGAAAGTGGGTGCCGCTTGGTCTACAGTCTTCAAGAGGAGCTTTCTCAGACAAGGGAGGACACAACAAACGAGAAGAGCAAAGATAAAAAGGAAAATTAGTATTGCTATACCAATATGCATCAAAGCTTTTTGCCATCCTGTCATCCAACCAAACCATCTCTCCCAGGGATCTTTTATCCCAGAGTTCCTCTTTAGCTCCTCAGAGAGCTCTTTCAATTTTTCTATAGCTAAGGTTACTTTACCATTGGGGCCTGTGTTTTCTGGGATGTAAGTACAACATGTCATGGTGTCAGGCAGAATTTTACATACCCCTCCTTTTTCGGCTAGAATCATATCTAAAGCCATTCTATTCTGGAATGACATTTGGGACGTAGCCTGCAGCTGTTCGGCCAAACCCTGAAGGGCATCCCTGGTGTAATTAACAAACCGTTGTTGGTTGTAGTAGATGTAATTTATCCAATTTAAATTCTTGTTTGCAGTGACTATGGTAAAAAGTGATTCAAATCCTGCAGCAACTTCATCCCTGGCTTTAAACTCATTGGGCACCCCCCTAGGTACCCCAATGGCATCAATGTAAATATGAGGGTCAAAACTGCCTTTTACTGGGGCTTCACGCTTTACCTTGGTTGGTGAGTGTTTGGACTCATGAGTATCGGGGTGTGTGTCAGAGATAATATGTATGGGCATGATTGCTTTAGCCAGAGTACACTCCCCCCACCATTCTTTATCCATTCTTGATCTCAGCTGTAGATCCCCACACAACCAGTAAATATCCCCCAATGATCTAGTGTGGAATTGTAGGAGGTTCATAGAGACAGTTCTGTAGGTGGCACAATAACCTTTAGAGAAGTTACCCACAAATTTACCAATTCTTTCATAATTAGCATAACAGGTATAATTACCTTTATAGACGGTAACACCATCTGGGGGTTTGCAATCTTTGACTAGAAGAGGATACTCTACTGTCCATGCTTTACATATGGACCTATTGAAATTGTAGTGATAGGCAAAAAGACTCAGAACACATTCTTCTATATCTACTGGCAAAGTTAAAGGCACAGTGCCCAGGTGCGTCCGGGCACCACCACACACATAGCATGCGGTTCTGTTATGTTTGCTGGCATTATATTTCATCCATTCTAACCATAGATTAACATCATTGAAACCTGTTTCAGCGGCCATGGTATCTTCAAATGTTGGATTTGCAATGGCCATCATGTCTTTAAAAGATTGGATGGGTGGTTTCAACGGATTTGAGACCATGTGGGTGGTCCCTTTCCACTCAGGAGAGTGGCACATATCTTTAAGGTGGAAATGTCCTAATTTATTATAGGAACCCTTCTTCCAGTACATTCCCATTACATACTGGTCTGCATCCGTTGGGCTGGGATGCTCAATGTTTAAGATTAATTTCATAGGTATGCCTCCTCCGGGCTTTCTTAGAGTCATTCTCTGGAGGAGGGACCTACCGTGATCATCAATTTTAGATAAGGCACTTTTTGGTTTGTAACCCCAGGCAGGCCCGGCATTCCATCCCGCCGCCCCCCAATGGTTACAGTTGTTCCCCCATTGTTTGTCAACTACACAAACATAGGGGTCTTTTGAATGAGGGATATCTCTATAGATATTCTGAATCTGTGACGTGGGGAATGGGCATTCTACGATGTCACAGTAGTCAAAAGTATAAGTAGCCACACGGGTACATGATGAATTATACCAGAAGGTGTACCCACTAGCATCTTTAGTGATGGCTACTTGTTGAGCTTTAATTAAGCTGATTAAGAAGATACTGTACCAGAGGTACATGGTGGTGCGGTACTAGCTTCCTCTGGGGCAAGTACTTTCTTACAATGGGAAGCGTGGATCCAATGTGGCCGGCCGGCCAATTTGACGGAGGTTGCGGTGATTAGGAGAACTTGGAATGGCCCGTCAAATCTTGGTTCCAAGGTATGTTTCCGCACAAACTTCTTGACCAGAACCCAATCTCCAGGAAGCAGGCTATGGGTACCTGTATCCAAATCGGGATCTGGAATTGAAGAGAAAACTTGGGCATGTATTTTGTTCAAGGCACTTGCAAGTTCAATTACATAGTCTACTAAAACATCAGATTGAAGCTGTAACTGTTGTGGATAATAACAACCTAGTCTGGGTGCGGTCCCAAATAGAATCTCGTATGGGGATAGTGAATGCTTCCCTCCAGGTGTGTGCCTAACACTAAATAGAGCTATTGGTAGACTTTCTGGCCAGGGCATCTTTGTTTCTTGTGACATTTTAAGCATTCTGGCTTTTAAGGTGCCGTTCATGCGTTCCACTTTCCCACTACTTTGTGGGTGGTAAGGGGTGTGAAAGGCTAGGGTCACCCCCAGAGCAGTCCAAATCTCTTTAGTCACTGTTGCTGTAAAGGCTGGGCCCTGGTCACTTTCAATAACTTCTGGAAGTCCAAACCTACATACAACATCTGTAAGTAGACGTTTTGCTGTTGTTTTGGCAGTGATATTGGCTACTGGGTAGGCTTCTGGCCAGCCTGAGAACATGTCCACTATCACTAGTGCATATTCATGGGGCCCGCTCTTGGGTATTTGTATATGATCAATTTGAATTCTCTGGAATGGGTACATGGGCTTAGCCAGATGTTTTGTAGGCACTTTGATTGGCTTCCCTGGATTGCATTTTGCGCAAATGGCACAAACCCTGCAGAAGTTAGTGATCAATGTTGTTATTCCAGGGGCTTCATAATACTTCTGGATGAGGGCGGCCATTAAATCTTTTGACAGATGTGCTGGTCCGTGTGCCCATTGGACAACTGCTGGGTATAAGTTTTTTGGAAGGCAGAATTTGAAATTGTTATAGTATATTCCGTCCTTTAAGACAGCCCCTTTTTTCTTCCATTTCTGGATCTCTTCAGGGGTAATTGCGGCTTGCTGTTCCCGCAAAATCCTTAGATCAGTAGGAAGGGTCTGTAAAGTAAAAACAGGAACTTCTTCTTGACCGGACACTTCTTTGTCCACTTCCTGCAAATTTCTTGCTGCTTGCTTAGCAGCCTGATCAGCCAGATGGTTGCCCCTTGCTTCATCTGTATCCAACTTTCCATGTGCCTTGACTTTCAATACGGCCACTTCTTCAGGGAGTAGGAGGGCATCCATTAGCTCTTTGATTGCAGAGCTGTGTTTGACTGGTGTGCCGGCAGTAGTAAGAAATCCTCTTGTCTTCCATATGAGGCCGAAGTCGTGTGCCACACCTAGGGCATATCTTGAATCTGTGTAGATGTTGGCACGTTTTCCTTCGGAGATTTTGCATGCTGAAGACAGGGCTTGTAATTCAGCTTCTTGCGCAGACATTGCTGGTGGTAAAGATGATGACTTGATAACTTCATCTGTTGTGGTTACGGCATATCCTGTGTGGTATTTTCCTTCTTCATCAGCATATCTTGAACCATCCACAAACAGAGTGAAATCAGGATTTGTCAATGGATTCTCATGCACCGTTGGTAGATGTATGGTCTCCATTTTCATCTGTTCAAAACAGTCGTGAGGAGTCTCTGGGTCATAGTTGTTTACTATGACCAGGCTTTTAAAGTCATTTTCCAGGAAATGGCGTGGCCATGCTTCAAGTAGGTCAGTTGTGGGGTATTTGGCAATGCCATTTTCCTGTAACTTCGAGTCATCCATGGTGGCCCATAATTTCGCCATGGGCCCGAGATCATTCCATGATTTTGTTTTCAACTTGGTAACAGGGACATGTGGAATAGCAGTATCCCAATGACGGTATAAATACTTGAGTTCTGAAGGTAGTTCGATCAAGACCATGCTATTGCCTTCAGAATCACAATAGAAGTCGTGAGCAGTGAGTTTCACCTCCACCCAGTGATAGAGTTCATCTTCATAGCAAGGTTCAGGAGAGATGTTCGGCTTGTACCATGTGGTACAGAAGGCATATCCTGGACCCTCACAGAGAGGTTTTTGTTGTTAATAAAAGGTTAAATCAGGATGCATCCTCTTGATGGTTCCAGTGAGGAGAAAAATATAGGTTTCGTCCATGATAAACCCATAGTGGATACCCCCCTCAGGGAGTGGAAGAAGAGTGGATGGATTAAGAACTTGACACCTTTGTATGGTGATGTTATCAGGTAGCAGGAGGTGACACTGTAAACGCAGGTGTCTGGCAGGAGACACATGTTTGAGCTGGACTTGGTTGATAATGGCAGAAATGTCATGAGGTGCCAATACAACCAGAGGATGACCAAGGACCAGGTCTGCAGTTTTCTCAATAAGTTCTCTTGCAGCAAAAACAGCCCTAAGGCATGAAGGGGCCCCTCTGGCCACGATATCCAGCTGACAGGAGAAAAACCCAATAGGCCTTTGGCGGCCTCTTAACTCATTTGTTTGGGTAAGCACTCCTGTGGCGTGGCCTTGTCTTTCAGAGACAAATAATTTGAAGGGTTTGGTGTAGTCTGGTAGGCCCAGAGCAGGAGCAGATGCAATGGTACGTTTCAGAATTTTAAAATTGTCCAGTGCTTCATTTGTCAGGCAGAATGGGTCTGACTTGAGTGCATCATAGAGTGGCTGCATAAGCAGAGAGGCTTCTGGGATCCATGCTCTGCAATAGGAAATGAGGCCTAAAAAAACATGGAGAGATTTTGTGGTTCTTGGAGGTGGAATCTCCAGTATGGCTCTGACTCGGTCCCGAGTGAGATGTCTGGTGCCTTGAGATAGGCAATGTCCAAGAAAGATTACTGTTGGCTGACAGAATTGCAGCTTGAGACGTGAAGCTTTGCATCCTTGTTCTGCTAGGTAGCAAAGGAGACTAATAGAACAGTCTTCTGTTGTAGGTATGTCATCCCCACAAAGTAGGAGATCATCCACATACTGAAGTAGGACAACTTCTGGGTGGTCTGTTTGCCATGGGTCCAGGATGGAGCACATGGCTTTAGCAAATTGACTTGGAGAATTTTGTGCCCCTTGGGGCATGACAGTCCATGTATACTGTTGCATTTCATGAGTGAAAGCAAACAGGTATTGGCAAGTCGGATCCAGTGGAACACTGAAGAAGGCATTA